CCCTCCTGTGTTCCCCTCCCATTTGAACAAGTTCTTCCTATTTCCCAATATCTGTCTTCCATTTTGCTCCTTATTTACCCTCTGGTTTCTCATAAAAGAGAAGTAATGTGATATTTAAACTCATGTGTCTGATCTATTTCACTTAAAATTATGGTCCCGGGACAGGGAGATAGCTCAGCGGCCCAAGTGACTGCTTGGCAAGTGGAAGGTCCTGAGTTCGATTCCTTGTACCAAAAAAAAAAAAAAAAATTATGGTCCCAAGGTACATCCAATACCTAAAAATGCTTTAAGTTTTTCCTTTATGACAGAGTGGTACTCCACTGTATATAAATACCACATTTTCTTTATCTGTTCTTTTGTTGATGAGCATTTGGGCTGTTTCCAAGATTTAGCTATTAGAAACTGTGCTGTTATAAACATACATATCTTGGTTACTTTTCTTATTGCTCAGACAAAAATACCCAACACCCCTAAGTTAAGGGAGAAAAGGATTTAGCTCATAGTTTGTAGAGGTTTCAGTCCATAGTTGGCTGGTTCCAAAGCATAGTGGCGTGGCAGACAGGCACTGCAGAGGAGATACAGTTCATGACAAAGCAAGCAAGAGACAGTGAAGCAGCAAGCCTTCCATTATATGTCATCCAAGCTACAAGTCTTTGAGTGGTGCTATCCACAGCCACCTTTGAAACTCCCATCTATTATCACATGAGGCTTTGGAGGGACATCTAGACCCAAGCCGTAACAATATATATGCATATTTGATGCTATTAACTCTTTGGATAAGATACCAAGAAGGGGATGTTATGGTTGATACATTGTGTCAACTTGGGGAGTCTAGAGGTTTGGCTCAGTGACTCAGCAGGAAGCTAGGGTGCTTACTTTGTATATACATCCTGAGCCTGTGGAAGAGGAAGGCAGGGAGATTATGTGAGAGCTACCCGCCCCTCAGGTGGGGGTAGCCTGTTTACAAAGTAAGGCAGGGAAAGAAGCTGCTTGCCGCCATTCCTCCCTTTTGCTCTGGCTGCATTGCTGTTCGGCTGCCATTGCCCCCTTTGCTCTTGTTGCTTTGCTACCTTCTACCTCGGAGCCAGCCAGGTATGGACTGAAACCTCCACAAACTGTGAGCTAAATAAACCTTTCCTTCCTTCATTTTGGGGGTTGGGTATTTTGTCTCAGCAATGAGAGAAAAGTAACCAAGACGAGAATAGCTGGGTCATGTGGAACCTCTAATTTTAGTTTTTTGAGGAATCTCCATACTGATTTCCATAATGGTTGTGTCAGTTTACATTCCCACCAACAATGAAGAAAGGTTCCTTTTTCCCCACAGCCTTGCCAGCATTTGATATTGGTTGATTTCTTGATGGTAGCCCTTCTTTCTGGAGTGGGATGGAATCTCAATGTTGTTTTAATTTGCATTTTATGGATGGCCATTGATGTTGAACATTTTTTCATATATTTATTTTGTTGTTTGTACATCTTCATCTGAGAAATATCTGTTCATTTCAGATGCCCATTTTGGGATTAAGTCTTTAAATTTGGGGAGTTTCTTTATATAGTTTAGATATTAGTCCTTTGTGGAGTAGCTAGTACAATCTTTTTTCCCATGCTGTAGGTTGTCTCTTCACTCTGTTGGTGGTTTCTTTTGCTATGCAAAAGCTTTTTACTATGATAGGATCCCAGTTATTGATTCTTTGGACTATTTCCTGTGTAGTCAGGGTTTTATTCATGAAATCTTTGCTTACACCTATGTTTCTGTTTTATTTATTTATTTGTTTATTTATTTTTGGTACTAGGAATTGAACTCGGGACCTTGCGCTTGCCAAACAGGGCACTGTGCTGCTGAGCTATATCCCCAGCTCTTATGTTTCTGTTTTAATATTTAGATCTTTGATCCATTTTGATTTTAGTTTAGTGCATGGTGAGACATATGGGTCTAAGCTTAACCTTCATCATGAGGAAAGCCAGTTTTCCCAGCACCATTTATTAAAGAGGCTCTCTTCCTTCCAGTGAAGTGTTTGGCCCCTTTGTCAGAGATAAGGTAGTTGAATGTGCTTGGTATTGTTTCTGCTTTTCTACTCAGTTCCATTGATCCTTGGGTATGGTTTTTTTTTTCCAGTATCATGCTATTTTTATCATGGTAGCTTTGTAGTATAACTTTGTCATGGATTGTGATGCCCACCGCCTTCCTTTGTTGCCCAGAATTGCTTTTACTATTCCAGGTCTCTTCTGGTTCTGTAAGAATTTTAAGGTTGTTTCCTCTAGTTCTGTGAGGTATGCTATTAGTATTTTGATTGGGATTGCAGTGAATCTGTATAACAGTTTTGGAAGTGTGGCCATTTTCATTATATTGGTTCTGCCTTCCAAAGAACAGGACGTTTTTCCATTTCCTAATATCCTCTTTGATTTCCTTTTTCCAAGTACTGTAATTTTCTATGTAATGGTCTTTCATTTCCTTTGCTAGACTGATTTCTACACATTTCGTTTTTCTTGATGTGATTCTGAAGGGTGTTGTTTCCCTAATTTCTCTGTCAGTGCGTTTGTTATTTGTGTACAGGAATGTTATTGATTTTTGAGTGTTAGCTGTATCTTGCTATGTTAGTGACTTTGGCCATTAAATTTAAGAATATTGGTGTTTCTGTGATCTTCTATGTAGAGTGTCATGTCATCAGTAAATAATGATAATTTAACTTCTTCCTTTCTTATCCATATTTCTTTTATTATTTTGTTTTGTCTAATTGCCCTGGATGATGTTTCCAGAACTGTATTGAACAGGAGTAGTGATAGTGGGCGTCCAGGTCTTGTTCCTGACTTTAGAGTAAAAGCTTTCAGTATGATGTTGGGTGTTTTTTTGTCATAGACAGGTTGTATCAGATTGTGATAAGGACCTTCTATTCCAATTTTCTTTAGAGTTTTTATCATGAATGGGTGTTGGACTTTGTCATATGTTTATTTTTTTTGCATCTATTGAGGTGGCCATGTGAGTTTTATTTTTGGTTTTGTTAATGTGGTGTATTAAATTAATTGATTTGTATATGTTGAAATGTCCCTGCATCCTTGGGATGAATCCTGCTTGGTCATGGTGTATAATCTTCTTGATGATTTGTTGTATCTGTTTTTGTTTTTTGGGTTTTGGGGGGCCATTTGTGAGACAGGGTGGCCTTAAACTCACCTCATAGCCTAGGTTGGCTTCAAACTTGTGGAGATACTCCTGCTTCAGCCTCCTGAGTGCTGGGATTACAGGTGTGTGCTGCCATGCCTGGCCTGCTGCATCTGTTTACCAGTATTTTATTGAGGATTTTTGTATCTGTGCTCATTAAAGAGATTGGCCTATCATTCTCTTGTTTGGTTGGCTCTTTCTCTGGTTTTGGTATCAAGGTAATGCTTGTTTCCAAGAATGAGTTTAGGAATATTGCTTGTCTTTCAATTTCATTAAAGTGTTTGAGGAGTAATGGCATTAGATCTTCTCTAAAGTTCTTGTAGAATTCAGCAGTGAATCTGTCAGGACCTGGGTTTGTCCTTTTTTTTTTTTTTTTTTCTATTACTGTTTGTCTTTTCTTGTGACAAAATACCCAATACATAAAGTTAAAGGAGGAAAGGTTTATTTAGCTCACACTTTGTAGAGGTTTTAGTCCATAATTGGTTGGCTCCAAGTTGTTTTTGTAGGGCAGACAGTAGTAGAGGAGGTTTAGGAAAATATGTTTGTTGCAGCTGTGCACATGGACAGTGGGAGGCAGTAGTGGAATAAACCGGAAGGAGTTAGGAAAACAAAAAGCTAACTCCCTGTGGTAGGGAAACGCACATGCTTGTTCCAGAATAAACGGTGCATCTTCTCTGAACTGCCTCTCTGGTGCTTAACGGTGAGTGGGCACAGTCAGAACCAGAGCGAGCAGATTGGCCTCAGCCACTCCCAGCATTGCCGGGTTTGGCTTTTAAACACTGGCCAGGCGCCACCTGAGTCTCTGATTTGGGTTAGGCCGGGACATCGCATTCCTAAGAGATTTCCAGGCACAGCCTGCTGATCTGCTCATCCAGGGACCCACTGTGAGACCGCTGAACTAAGCAGGTATGGGTGAGCTTTCTGCGACGTGGCCCTTACAGTTTGTGAAGTGGTTACAATTTGTCGACTTGGTTATAACCCCATTGCCGTAGAACATACCTGGTTGGCCCATTTCCTTGAGTTTTGCTCCTGCAGATTCAACCAACCTCAGATCAAACTGTTCAAGAAAGTAATGCTTGCATATGGAACAGGTACCGGCCTTTTTTGTCATTGTCTAGGCAATATAGCATAACAACGCTTTATATAATGTTTATGGGTCATGAGGTGCTATAAACAGTCTAGAGAAGAAGCGTGTAATGTACATCCAAGTCCTGGGCCATTTTAGAGAAGGGCATAGAGCTTGCTGTCCATGGGGTGTGTGGGGTAAGGGACAGGTATAGTTATGTTCCAGTAAAACTTTATTTGTGGGCATAACTTTTAATTTCGTATAATTTTCATGCGTCATGAAGTACTATTCTTTGAACTTTTTAACCGTTTAACCTCACTTGTGGGTGGCTGGCAGACTTTGGCCTTAGGCTACAGTTGGGGACCACGGAGCTTAAGAGAGGATTCCATAACCCCTGCCAAGGTACGGCCTTAGAGACCAGTAGGGCTGGCCTTTCTTTAGCAGATTCCAAGTGCTAGATTGAGCAAGAGAGTATTACTTTATTATTTTCATGTTCCTAGCTTGTTTTTCCTTGTTTCTACCGCCCAGCATTAAATGTGCACATTCACTTTTCACGTTCTAATTTCCAGAAACTGTGAACTTCCAGCGGTGGGGGGCACACAGGGTTTATATCTGCGAGTTGAGGCCGTGTGAGGAGCGGGTTCTGTGTACTTCCTGGCAGCTCTGTTGAGCAGGTTAAGCGTTGCATGGATGGGCGGAGTTGGCCAGAGGCTTTCCGTGTGAACCTCAGAAGGGACCTGTGCTGAGGTCTCTATTCAGCCGCTCCCTTCTGTCTTGCAGCCAGGAAGCAGCTGCAGAGGCCTTCTGTGAACCTTTACTCACAAGCAATGAGGGTGGCGGCAGCTCGCTGACCCTTGGCCTGGAGACACTCTTGGGAGGAGCAGAGTGATTTTCAGTGCTCAGAAAGCTGGTGGCTGAGTCCAGCACTAGCTGCAGGGCTGCAGGCTGAGTGCAGACCTCTCACTCACCGGTGCGCTTGCTTGGGCGGCCCCAGTGCTGAGCTGGGTGTGAGCAGGGAGTGAGGCCCCTCCTGTGTTCGAAGACTGGGATCACGCTGCGAGGGACCTGCTCGGCCTCGCACCTCTGACCTAACTCCTTCGTGTGTTTGGCTGTGGCGGTGATGAGAAACTCCACGTGAAAAGATTTTTTTTTAAAGAGGAAAATAGTAAGTAGTTCAGGGGCTCATGCCTTTGACAGGTTGTCCATTTTCATACACATTTCTTTCATCAGTAGGGGTCCTCTCTCTGCCTCTCTGTCCCTCCTTCTCTTTGTGGTGCTGGGGACTGAAGCCAGCGCCTTGCCCTGCCACCACAGAATCTGCTTCCCCAGCCCCTCTGTTCTCTTATGAAAACATTCTGTGTGATCTCCGGCTGGCGTCGCTGGGCCAGTGGTGGCTCTCAGTGCCGGAAGCCAATGATGGGGCCTGGCAGGCGGAACATGTGGTGGCCGCCTCTCCCCCGTGGCCCTGCTCCCAACAGGTGCCCCCGCCTTGCTGTCTGCTGGACACTGCCTCCCTGTGGGGTCTCTCAGATCTCTGTTCCTTCCGAGGCTGTGGTTCGGGTGTCGGCTGTCAGTGTGGTGATAGCCGTCCGTCTGTCCGTCCATCTGTCAGGCTGCTGTAGGGACGGAAGAGGCAGGGAGTGCAGACAGCAGGGGACTGTGCGTGAGGGGCCCCCTCATCCGTGGGGGAGAAGACTGAACCTAGAACGGGTCTGCTTTTCATCTCTCCATCCCAGTGATAATGGTCAGCATCTGTTGAGCACTGTGATGTGTCAGATGCACTAGTTCCGAGGCCTCCTCACATCTGAACTCATTTAATCCTCTTGAGAGCCCAGGGAGGGTCCTGGGGCTCAGGCAGATCCTGAGGCTCCTGAGAGGTGGGCCAGGCTCTGCGGTGGCTCTTGGTTTCGAGTTTGTCCTCAGCACCACTTCAAGCTGCCTGTGCCAGAGATCAGCGGCCAGAGTCCTGTAACACTTTCCCCCCACCGTGTCAGAAGCAGTGCGGACCAGGAGTGGGCAGAAGCAGGTGGGGAAAGGCACTGCACCAGACAGATAACAGAAAACGCCTCTCAGGCTTGGCCGCGGCGGGAGCTGTCTCGGCCTGCTGGGGGCACCCGCCTGACAGAAAAATGAGGAACCTGAGTGAGCCAGACCTCGAAAATCCCTGTGGGGTGCTTCTATGGTATGAGGCTCGAGACAAGTTGGAAAGTCAGGGAACCTGCAGGCTGTGGCCGTTTTTAATTCGAACAATTCAACATCCTGGCTAAACTTATCATTGGCTTATAAGACAAAATGTGACTCGGGGTTGGGGGAGGCTCAGGGAGGTTTTATTGAGTGGCTAAAGGGCGGAGAGTATTGAATGATCAACCGTACATGTCCCTTGGAGGCCAGAGAACCCAAACTGTTTTCTGCTATCAAACTTCCAGCACACCCACCCCGGCTCCCGTCTGCTGGAATGGCAAAAGCGCTTGTGTGGGCCCCACCTAAAATTGCACCGGTGGGGAAGTTGGTGTTAACAGAGGGAGCTACTCAGGGCCCTGTGTAAAATAGATTATTCTTTAAGGGGCAGTTGGCCATTTGGGGGGGAACTATATTCTTTACTCTTTGATGTGAAAATGGGATTCCAAATGGATGCACAATTTAAATGTAAATATGAAACCACGCTCTTGCGTTCTGCCTAAAGCTTCAACCAACTAGACAGAAAATATTTTCTAAAAAAATCTTTCTGTAATGAAATGTCTGAATATTCACAGGAAGGGAGAAAGATTAAAAAGGAGAAGTAATGTGAGTTTTGATTAGACCTGGATCCAAGTAGGTCAGGTTTGGTTTAAAAATTTTTTTAAAACTCAGGGCTTTTAGAACATTTTGGAGATCAGAACTGTGGATCAGGCGTTGTGTATGCACAGGAGGCGGGAGTGTGAGGGGGTACGTGCAGGACAGGTGGAAGTGTGCTGGGTACCCCAACCTTCTGTTAGAGACGGGCTAAGTGCTGGTGCGATACAGTGGAGCACACTACCTTGTGCTGCCGGAAAAGGGCAGCAGGATGTCCCTCTTCCCCTTGTGTTTGCAGAGCAGGGGGTGTGGTCTTGTTTGGATGAAAACTAAAGGTAGTGCAGAGGAAACAGCTAGAGTGCACCTGCACATTTGAACCAGCTGGGGAGATGAGGAAACACCGACACCTGACCTCGCCCTAAACCTCAGCCTTGCGGTGGGGAGCAGGCGAGCCCATGTCCCTGAAGTCTGAGGGCCCCTGACAGAGGGATGTCCCTCCACTTCGGGTGGGAAGAGGGTGATGTAGCTTTCTATTTTACTGCGTGCAGTAGTTCTCCTATTTGTATTACTAACGTTTATGTTAAAAAAGATTAAGGAGAATTTTTTTTTAAAAATCCTTTCTTGATCCAAACCAGTGGAAGGTCAGTATTTGTGCCATCACTTTCCTGCAGTGCAGACCACACTTGCTGGTGTCTGGTACCACTGGACTGAAAACATTCTTTCCTCTTGTATCCTGAGATCAGAAGCTGGTGAAAATGGCATGTGTGGACACCGTCTACCCGTGGCCGTGGCCGGGTGCTTTTTTGTAGACACCACGACTGGATTGTTGCTGCTTGGTGCCGCTAGCTCCCGCACTCGGAGCCGGCTGCTAGGAGAGAAGAACCCTTGGGTGGCACGGTAGACTATGGGGTGAAGATGGCCCTTACCGGCCCTCTTGTGTTCTCCAGTGCGAACTGTGTCCTGCCCCTTAGTCCTTTGTGGCTCCTCTTTCCTCCTCCCCTTTTTCATCTTCCTGTCCTTCCCCATCCCTGCTTTTGTACTCCTCCTCTTCCCAGGTTAGAGCTAGGGTGCCCCCGCCCCGGCGAGGTGTGTTTGGAAGGTGATGGGGTCCGGGCGCTGTGTCCTCCTGGATTCACCCTGGAGGAGTAGCCCCAGGTGTGGTTGGAGGTGGGGCCAGGTGGCAAGAGGCGGTCACTGAGGTGTGCCTCGGCGGGTGCGTCTCCCTCCGGGTGCTCTCTGTTTCCTGCTAACGCCAGGTGCGCCTCCTCCTCCAGCCTCCTTCCCATCCTGTCCTGCTTGGGAGCCAGCGACCAGGCACTGAAACTGTGAGCCAGACCGAACCTCTGCTTTCCTTGTGGCCTTGTGGGTGGTGGTTTCCCAGCAGTGGAGGAAATGATGAACACACTGCTGTTCCTCCTCTCCCTCTGCTTTTTCCTCCCCGCTTTCCCGCCCCCACGTAACCCCCCCCTCACCCCCGGTGCCTGGCACACAAGTCGAGCTGTCTCAGGAGCCTTTCGTCATGGTGTGGCCTCCTGTGCCCTGATAAAGCTCTGCTTAGTCTGGCTTTTTAGCGGAAGCCTTTGGGAAAAGCAGCTTCCTTGTTCTTGGAGACTGGTGCTTCTGTCCAGCCAGACCCGAGTACAAACTTGGCCGCCTCTGTGTGCCAGCCTAAGCAGAGGGTGTTTGTGCCCTGGCCGGGACTCATCCCCAGCACATGGTTGCTGTGTGGCCTCTGTGAAGTCGGACCACTTGCTGTCTGGCCTTGTGCGCGCAGTGGCTCTGGCTGGGACTTCCGCAGGTCTTCAGGCTCCCTCCACAGGGTGTGGTGCTGGCTGGAGCGCTGCATTCCTACCTGAGGTTAGAAACCCTGCCTTGCCGAGATTGATTCTGTAGGGAACACGGAGCGCCTTTCTGACATGATGTGAAAGCATTTAATGTTTGCGCTCACTGTTCACAGGCACGATCAGTTCTTAAACTGTACTGGGGGGGCACTCCACTCACACCGCCGTGTGCACGAGGGGTGTGCGGAAGAGAAGTGGGGCCGTGCGGCCTCCAGTCAGCGTGTGCTGCGCAGCAGAGCCCACATGCCTCGGGGGCACTTCCTGGGTGATGCCTGAGAAGGGAGTATGGCCCGCTGGGTGACGCTGCTGAAGCTGATGCCCTGTTTTCTCTGGCAGGTCCACAGCCCAGTTTTGAGATGATGGGCTTGGGAAATGGCCGTCGAAGCATGAAGTCCCCACCCCTCCTGCTGGCCGCCCTGGTGGCCTGCATCATCGTCTTAGGATTCAACTACTGGATCGCCAGCTCTCGGAGTGTGGAACTCCAGGTATTTTGTTCGAGTGTGTGTCCGGATGCCATCGGGGATTTGAGGGTGCTGTGGCTGGTCTCAGGATCAGCTGTGTGTCACCCGAGGCCTGCACTCCTTGGGCACTGCACTGAGAGCTCTGGGCCTGTGAATTCCTGACCCCAGCCCTGAGGCTGGAAGGCTTTGGGCAGACGACCGCTCCCACCATCCTGTCCGGGATTGTTCCTGGAGCCTCTGTGCTCTTCAGCTGAGCATTTGGGTGTTTTGGGAAGGTAGCTGGCTGAGGTGCACTGACCACACCCCAGTCCTTCGGTCCACAGGAAGTAGCAGAAGGCACTGTTGGCGGTGTGTTGGAGCAAAGGTATAAGAAATGTGCTTTTGAGAGTCCCAGTCTTTGTGGTCGTCATTTAATGGTAGTAGAACTTAGCTTTGTGGCCATCACAGCCCGGGGCTGTGCTGAGCAACAGCAAAGACCTTCTCCTTGGCCAGGTCTGTACCTCACGCAGCCCAGGCTCGATCTGCCCAGCGCAGAAGTAGCAAATAGCATGCCTGCGCCCGTCCCAGCCTTGTGTTGGATCTGGTTCCGAGCACCCCACCCTGGGGCCTAGCCCTCCATGTGTGTGAGAATCCCCGCTTTTGATGCGGCCTGGTCACCATCCACCCTCAGACTCTTCTCCTCGGCAGCAGGGGCCCTTACTGTGTTGAGAGCCACGCAGTTCTGCTCCTGTTTCAGAGGTCACGGCCCCAGCTGACAGCCTGGTGACGTCTCACTTCCCACCGGACAGTGTCAGGATAGCTGTTCTCCTTCAGCACTGTTCACAGATCGTGTCCTTTGACACAAACCCTGCAGAGCTGGGCTTTCGTGTTCCCCGCGCACTGGGGTGGATGGAGACGTGGTGAGGTGCAGATTCCTACCTGGCCGCGTGTCCTGCTGGCACTGGCCTCACCTGCTAGAGTTGTGGGCCACGACCCGGCCTTCCCAGAGCCCCTGTTTCATAGGCAGATGAGGTCTTGGCGTCTGGAGTTGGAGAAATGAGCTTTCTCAAATTCTGTGTGATTAAAGAGTTGTGTGCTGAAATAGGTGATGGCACGAGCCTGTGATCCCAGCACTCAAGAGGCTGAGGCAGGAGAGTTGCAAATTCAGGGCCAGCCTGGGCAACTTAGCAAGATATTTGTCTCAGGAAAACAAAAGAGTTAAGTACTCCATTAGCGGGGAAGAGGAACTAGCCTGGGTAGTTCAGCGGAGGGCAGACAGTGCACAGAATATTCTAGTATATGTAAGCCTGAGCTGGAGGAGTGGGCTGTGTCTCCACCTTGTACAGGGCATGCAAGCCCAGGGAGGTGCATTCCCCTGCCTGGAGCAGTGTTTCTCCAGCAAAGCCCGCGCTGCTTCCCCAGATGGATGCAGGCCTGGAGCCTGGGTGCGGGCTGGGTACCCGTGTGCTGGGGGTTGTGTTGGGGGTCAGGGCCCTGTCTGGGGAAGGCTTGCTCAGCCTCACGCTGTGCTCTCCTTGCAGAAACAAATCCTAGAGCTGGAAGGCAGGGTGCGCAGGGCGGCCGCGGAGAGAGGCGCCGTGGAGCTGAAGAAGAATGAGTTCCAGGGAGAGCTGGAGAAGCAGCGGGAGCAGCTGGACAAGATCCAGTCCAGCCACAGCTTCCAGCTGGAGAGCGTCAACAAGCTCTACCAGGACGAGAAGGTGGGCGCCGGGGGCCCCTCGAGGTCTCTGAGTGACAGCTCAGCTGGTCAGGTGCTGGCTGATTTGTGTGACTGTGCGAGTGTGGCTCGGCCATGGCCGTCTTCTCCACCCCGCCCGCTGTCCCTGTCAGTCCGTGGCCGAGCTTGTTGGGAGAGCTTGGTGCTGATGGTGGGTGGCAGAAATACAGAAGAGCAAGGAGCACCAGACGCTTCCTTCTCTGTGATTCTGGGAACGACCCCAGGCGCTCTGCCATGGAGCTACATCCCAATACTTTTTACTTCTCATTTTGAGACAGTCTTGCTAAATTGTCAAGGCTGGCTTCCAACTTTTGATCCTCCTGCCTCAGCCTCCTGAGGAGGTGGAATTATAGGCCTGCACCACCATTTGTGTCTCTGTCTTTGTTTTTAAGTGTTTTTTCTTTTTGAAATGGTATACTAATGTATGTCTTTGCGTGTATCCGGTTGTCATTATTTGGTATTTGGTTGTTGTGTCAGCTTGCCAGGTTCTTCCGCAGTTTCACTGGTGGATAAAATTCTAGACTCCGGGAACCTTGAGCTCTCAGCGTGCGCATCCAAGTGCCTGGGTATTTTGTGTACAGTGTGAAAGTGTGACTGCCTGCTTTGGATGTGATGACCTGAAGACTTCCCAGGAGGAGCCTCCTAAGGGTTCCACCACCTCTTGATGATGCCATGCTGGGGACCAAGTCTTTAACGCATGACCTGTGGGGCACAAGGTCCAAACTACAGCAGGCATCAACATCTGAACTCTAAGGAGAAACAAATACTTAGACATGGTGCCATTTTTTTGAGGTAGGGTCTCACTATGTAGTTCAGGCTGGCCTCGAATTTGTGGCAGTCCTGCCTCAGCCTCCTGAGTGCTGGTACCACAGGAGTGTACCACCACACCCGGCAGTGCCTTCTTTTTGTTTCCCACATTGAAGCCATGAAACCAAATTGCACTGAAAGGAGAGGGGAATGTGGGAAGGGGAGCCGGCTGTGGGTGTATGCACCACAGCAGAAGGAGGCTGTGGTGTGCCATCTCACAAGAGGATGACATGGGTAGTTTTCCAGGGAGCCGAGAGCATTTCATTTCCGTGTTCACACCATAATGAAATAGCAGGTAATTTGAGGCAGCAGCTACATCTAATCTGATTCAGACACTACAAAATATATACTGTACATGTGCTGGAACGTCACGTGGTGCCCATCAGGATGTACAGTTTTTATGATTTTATGTATTAAATAGTTAATATAAATTTTAAAAAGTAAAAATTCAAAAATAATAGGAAGAACAGGATTAGGAGGCTGTTTAAGAAGATAAAACCTAGTGTGGACAGCGCAGCTGGCCATGAGAAGAGAGCAGGTGTGACCGCAGCCTGAGGACAGCACAGGTGCGGCATCTCTCTTAGTCGCCTCAGGGTTGCTTGTTGCATCCTTCGCCACAGCCTCACAAGCTCAGGGTCCTGGCTTTGCAGGTGTGGGATCTTGGGTTCAGGGAGCGCAGCCGTCACCAGGAGACCTGGACACTGGAAGGCTGGGAGTGGCTCTGCCTCTGCTAGCCTGCCCTGGGCACCTGCAGAAGCTGGGCGGTGACCTCAGGCTCATCACACTGCCTGTTTGCTGTGAGACAGTGCAGTCTTTTCAAAATAGAAGTTTATAAAACATCATATTTGTATCTTTCTGCTTTCAGAGACTACTATATTCCAGCTGGCTTTTTTTCGTCTGTTTTGCAGTCATGGGTGAGAAACATCCATTTCATTCCCTCAAATACCTAAGCATCACTAACTACATCATCTCTCTTTTCCTTAATTTTAGAAAAGTCACCTCTTGTGATTTGAATTGGGATAAGGCTCTTGTAATCCCTTTTTATAATTTTAAGTACTCATAGAGTGGTGTGATACAGATTGAGTATGTCTCCTCTGAAAGGCCTGGGACCAGGAGCGTTTCAGAGCTTAGATTTAATGGACTTTAGAATATGTGCACATGTGTAATATGCTGTCATGTGGATGGGACCCAAGTCTGAAATCCAAATTCATTTATGTTGCATATAGACCTTCCATACACAGCGTGAACACAATCTCTTGTGGTACTTTTGGTGCACCTGTGTTTTCCCTGGGACCCATCACACAAGGTCAGGTGTGGGATTTTCCACTTGGGCATTATGTGGATGCTCAAAAAGCTTTGGATTTTGGAACACCTTAGATTTTGGACTTTGAGACTTGGGATATGCAATCCTGAGTGATGACAACTTTCATGACTCATTGGGTTCTCAGTGGTTCCAGGGAGAAACACCGAGGATATAGAAAATAAAGACAAGAGACAAGAGCTAAGGTCAAGTGGAGGCCTCTCACTGGATAGGAAAAGAGGACTGGTCAGTTACTGTAGGGGAGGTTGATGTCAATTTCAACCTCTCTGCCTAGCAACCAGCTTGCAAGCTGGAACAGCTTGTTTTCATGGCTTGAGGAGTTCCTTCCCCGTGTTCTCTGGCACGCTTTGTCTTAGCCTCTCACGTGTGATTGATTTCCAGCTTCAGCCCCTTCTAACACACAGCCGTGAAGGAGGTCATGTGTTGGGACCTGTGGCCAGGCCAGTTTGCAGACCTTGCAGGATGTCCAGATTTTCTGCCTCCACCTCCCATGTCTTGGGCATTCACTGTTACTCTGGGTGGGTTTTATATGCAAGTGAGGGCCCAGACAAAAGCTTGAAAACCAAACCTATCAGGGAAAATGAACAGACAGACCCTTCCTCCTGGCACTCCTCAGGTCAACCTTGTGTGACAGGATTTTCCTTGATGATGGACACGTTGTCTGTGCTCCACACTACTTAGCCACTGGCCGCAAAAGGCTGTTGAATATCTGGACTATGGCTGGTGGGTCTGAGAAGCTGAGTTTAATTTTAATTTGTTATGGTTTACACCAAAAATGTCCCCCAAGAGCCTCATGTGCTCAGAGGTGGGGTTTTTAAAAGGTGGTTAAGTTATGGGGGTGTTATACCTGCTTTGCTATTAGGAGTGGAGTCCAGTTAGAGCTGGGTCACTGGGGGCATGACCTGGAAGGGTACATCTCCTTCCCCTGCTTCTCCCTTCTCTCTTTGCTTCCTGACCACTGTGACATGAGCACTTTTGTCTGTCATGCTGTTTCTTCTTTAAAGCTGCTGACCATAAGCCAGAATAACCTCTTCTCCTTTAGAGCTGCTGAAATATAGACCACAATAAGCTTCTTCTTGTTTGACTTTTGGGTGTTGGGTATTGTGTCCCAGCAAAGAAAAACTTACTATGATTTTGGTACCAGGAGAGGTGTCGTCACTGTGACTAACTGGCCATTTGGTTTAGAAGCCCTTGGAACTGGTTTGCAGAAGGCATTTGGAAGAGTTTGGAGATGCTGGATAGAGAAGCCCTAGAATCCTATAAGCAGAGCTTGATGGGTGATACTGGTCAGGACTCAGAAGACAAGAATGCTCATAGAAATGCAAGGAGTAAAGGCCAGGTACTCAGTTTAGTTGGGACCAAGTACTCCATTGGCTGTTGAACTAGATACCATGTATATTATGTTCTGGCAGAAAATTTGTCTTTATATTGCTTATGTACTGAGACTTGATGGGAGACTGAGATTAACAGTGGTAGACTTATTACTCTCATGGAGGAAGTTTCAAGACAGCCCAGTGTTTAGGCTGTAGCATGGATACTGCTTGCTGCTTTTAGTGAGATTTATGCTGAAAAATGGGAATAGAAATCCCATTTAAAATGTTTTGAGTTTCACCAGAAAGGAGATTTCTATAAAGTTGGGCCCTGTAAAGTTTTAGCCAAGGGGGCACTCGGTTGTTCAAAAGATTAACATTAAAAGAATCCAGCCAGGTGTGGTGGCATATGCCTATAATCCCAGGAGGAGAAGGCAGGAGGATTGTCATGAGTTTGAGGCCAGCCTGGGCTACATAGTGAGTTCAAAGATGCCTTGAATGGCATAGCAAGGCCCTGTCTCAAAAAAAAAAAAAAAGAATCCAAATACTTTGTACAAAGATGACACCTTGCCAACATTACAAGAGTCAGCAAGACTCCCCCTTTCATAGGCTTATAGATGTAAAGCTTTCATTAAAAAAAAAAAAAAAAAAAAAGAGCTCCAGGAAGCCCAGCTCATTCAGGGCCAACTAAAAAGTTTCTATGAGTTTCACCATTGGTTCTCTTGAGACCTCTACAGCCATGATTCAACGGCGTTGGCTGTTGCTTGAGCTGGTGGCAGACCTAGGTGTCATCCTCTTGGTATGCAGAATACAGTAGTACCTCAGTTCACAAACACTTTTGTTTGCAAACAGTTTAGTTTGCAAACAGAAGCATTTGACAAAACTGTTTTTGTTTGTGAATTCTGCATCAGGTAACAAACACAAACACGGCTATCATTTCCAGAGTCCAAGACTTACAATACATTGTCCAAGACAATGAATTAAGTTCTTGCTTTATAAACCTCCCTGGCTTGCAGAACAGCTGCACCCAGTTTCTGCAATATTGCACTCTTCCTTTCCAATTTGTTCCCTAAGGAAAGCTGCAGCACGATCATTTGTCCCATCTTGTAGGTGTGAGCCTGGCAGTATTGCACATCCAGGGCTCTAGGGATGAACGAGGTGACTGGAATCTCAGCCAGTGTACACATACTTAGAAGATGTTGGCTGGGCTTCAGGCGTGCATCCTGTGTAGCTTGTATTGTTTTGGAGGAAGGTGAGTTTCCTTCGGATATTTAACAGCTATGGGAGTTACATGAACAAAGAGATCTGTGTTAACTAAAGTAGTTGTGGTCTTTTCCTAAAGGGCCTCTGAGGGTAAAGTGGAATGGAGAGGGGTTTGTGCAGGAAAGATGGTGTTTCCAGCAGATATAGTAGCATGTGAAGCTGAGGCAGGGATGGGAATGGTCAGGGAGTGTGTTGTTGATGAGAGGTATGTAGCAAGTGTCATCACAGCCATGTCAGTCCCTGAGGGGACTTCCTTCACTGCTGTCCCATATGCAAGGTAGA